GGGAGCAAGCCGTGGAGAAGCAAGCAGGGTGGCAGAGGAGGAAGGGAAGCAAGTGGGGTGGCGGAGGCGGGAGCGAAGTCTGCCTCGGTGGGTTTCACTCCCTTCTCTGCTTCGCTTCAGCTGCAGGAAGCCCTATTCTTGCGGGAATCTTCCTGCAACGGGCCTCTAGTATACACAGAAAAGCCTAAGGGACCATTAAGAACTAATGACTGCTCGATCAATTGCTATGATGCGCACTGACCACCAGGGGGCAGACGCTCAATGCAGGAGCTGTCCCCTAGTGGTCAGTGCGCTCCCACAGCCAACCTCCCACAGCCAGCCAACTTCCCCTGGTCCCTCCCCAAATCCAGCAGGCCCCAGCTGGCCCGGCCCCAATCAGGACTGGGCAAGATGGCCCTGATAGGCCCTGATTGCTGGCCCAGGCCTAGGGACCCCACCCATGCATGAATTTCATGCACTAAGCCTCTAAGCCAGTGATGGTGAACCTTTTGAGTTCGGCATGTCAGCATTTTGAAAGACCCTAACTTAACTCTGGTGCCGTGTCACATATAGAAATTTTTTGATATTTGCAACCATAGTAAAACAAAGATTTATATTTTTGATATTTATTTTATATATTTAAATGCCATTTAACAAAAATCAACCAAAAAAATGAGTTCGCGTGTCACCTCTGACACGCGTGTCATAGGTTCGCCATCACTGCAGGCCAAACTAGTTAGGGCTCTAGTATCTTAATAAGCAATGAAAAGTCTCAAGTGTTGAGTCAGTTGACAGTATCTGCTATTGGATTTTTCAGATTGGGGTGTGATTCTTGATCATAAGTCCCATATTTAAAAACCATGGCTGCCCAGGTGGCATGGTTCAGTGGTTGAGTGTTGACCTATGAATGAGGAGGTCATGGTTCAGTTGCCAATCAGGGCACATGCTCAGGCTGCAATCTCGATCAGGGGGGCATGCAGGAGGGAGCCGATCAATGATTCTCTCTCATCATTGATATTTTTCTCTCTCTCCCTCTCCCTTCCTGTCTGAAATTAATAAAAATATTTTTAAAAAGATGTAGTAGAAATTACATATATTCTTGAATTTATGCCACATTAAACTGGAATATACACTGGTCAGAGATAAATTCCAACATTTTGCTTTTAGGAAATAGGTTCCTTAATTTCCCTTCTATAGAAAGTTAGGGGAAGAGCCCTTTATTATGTGTCAGTCACAATGCAGTGTGTGAAGGCCCTTCTGTTCTGTCTTGGGCTCTGTCTCCATGGACTCATGTCAATAACGTGTGTTGCGCCTTCAGGACAAATCTGCACCTTCACCAACCTCAGTCCTACGAAACAGAGCAGGCTAGCAGTGGTTTAAGATTATGCTGGTTGAGATAAAAAACATGCTAATTCAAGTCTAAGCTTTTCTATCAGAAGTGACATGTTGCTTTCTAAGAAGGTGAATGGATGAGGCACTTGCTCAGTGAGGCCACTATACTGTCAAAGGCCTTGCTGAAGCGGAAGGATGTTCTCATGGGCACATGGCCCTCTTCTTGCTTTCCAGCCCGCGGCCGCCCATCCCACTGTCCCTGCTGCTGACCGAAGAGGAGGCGGCACTGAGCATCCAGTCCTTCTGGAGAGCCTACCTGGTGAGTCCTGGCCGCAGGGGCTTGCGGGTGCTGGGCTTTCCTGGCACGAGGGCCCCTGGGGAAGAGACAAATTGGAAACAGGATATAGTTGACAGCCAGACCTCAGAAATAGGGTTCTCTGTAAATACTTCTCACGAGGAATTTAGAATTTTTACCAAAACTTATTTAGCAATTATCATTAAAAGTACCCTCCAATCTTTTAAAGTTGGGTTGACTGGCAAATGTTACCTAACAAATAATATTACATCCCTGGCCAGGTGGCTCTGCTGTTTGGAGCATTGTCCCTTATGCCAAAAGGTTGCAGGCTCAGTTCCCGGTCTGGGCGCACACATACCTAGGTTGCAGGTTCATTCCTGGGCCAGGTGCAACTGATCAACTTTTCTCTCTCACATCAGTGTTTCTCTCTTTTTAAAATCAAATTAAAAAATCAATAAAAACAAATCCTCAGGTGAGGATTAAAAAAATAATCTATAATAATAAAAGCATAATATGCTAATTAGAGCGGACGACCTTCCGGATGAAACTGGGTCCTGGGTGCCAGAGGGAAGCCGGTGCCGGCAGCTGGGGGAAGGATGTCCTACTCTTGCATGAATTTTGTGTATTAGGTCTCTAGTATTACATACAGACAGGCAGCAATACATGTTCATTTTAGAAAAAAATTAGGAAATCCAGATAATTCATATAAAGCAAATAAAAAAGTAAAACTTTTGAGTCACAGATAACTCTGTCACCAAAAGATTATCATTGTTGCCCTAGCCAGTTTGGCTCAGTGGATAGAGCATTGGCCTGTAGACTGAAGGGTCCCGGGTTCTATTCCGGCCAAGGGCACATTCCCAGGTTTCGGGCTCAATCCCCAGTAGGGAGCGTGCAGGAGGCAGCCGATCCATGATTCTCTCTCATCATTAGTATTTCTCTCTTTCTCTCCCTCTCCTTTCCTCTCTGAAATCAATAAAATATTTTTTTAAAAAAGATTATCATTGTTGACATTTTGGTGTAAACATTTCCAAATCTTAAAAATCTTAACACATAGGATAACATATAAATACCTAACATACAGAAAGTAACCTTTTCTTTTAAAACTCATCTTTCTAACCACTTGTCTATTGGTTGTTTCCAGTTTACCGTTATTATAATGTATGCTGCAATGCATATCTTTGTGCAGCCATTTTTGCACATTGTCAGCTTGTTTACCTAGAAGGAATTCTAGAACTGAAATTTCCTCGTCAAAGCTCCTGATCCGGATTGTCATGTGGCCCTTCAGGAAGGAAGTACTTTTTAAAATTCTTACCAAATACAAATGAGAATATAGCTCATGCCAAGAAGTGTACAACGTCTTTGATTAGTTGGCACTTAGAGTGTCGATGTTAAGAAGCTCCTAGGCGCGCGGACGGGAAGGCGGGAGAGGAGAAGCCGCAGCGAGCTGGAGCCGCCAGAGGACCTGAAGAAGAAGCAGAAAAACCTGTGAAAACTAAGACTGTTCCTTCCAGTAATGGAGGGGAAAGTTCTAGTCGCAGCGCTGAGAAGCGATCAGCTGAGAAGCTGCAGACCTCCCAACAAAGCCTACAAAGATCTCCAAGTTTGGATTTGCCATAGGTAGTCAGACGACAAAGAAAGCCTCCGCCATATCCATCAAACTTGGATCAAGTAAACCTAAAGAAACTGTTCCAACTCTTGCTCCAAAAACCCTTTCAGTAGCAGCAGATTTTAATGAAGATGAAGATAGCGAACCAGAGGAAATGCCTCCAGAAGCAAAGATGAGGATGAAGAATATTGGAAGGGATACACCAACATCAGCAAGACCAAACTCCTTTAATAAAGGAAAGCATGGGTTTTCTGATAACCAGAAGCTATGGGAGCGAAATATAAAATCTCATCTTGGAAATGTCCATGACCAAGACAATTAAATAATATGTTTTGAATTTGGGGTACGGGGTGGGTGTAAAGTTAAAAGGAACAGTTTCCTTTTTAAAGAATGATATAAGACTATCTTGGGAGCCGACTTTTTTTTTTTTAAGATTGAGTGGTACACTAATAAATGAGAGTTTGAAATTAGACGTAATTTATGTTTTATATACAGATTTCAAGACATTTGCTAATTCTCTAGTTTCATGTAATTAGTTTCCAAAGGTTACAGATAATTTTAAAAAAATCAGAAATGGTACCTTTCTAAGAATTGCATATTTTTTTTAGACACAACTATCTAACACATTAAGAGGGAAGCAAAAAATTTATTGTCTGTTTAAACTGCAAGCAATTACTCTAACTGAACTCCCTTATTAACCTAAACTTTCTGTCTCCCAGGAACAGCCTTATAAAGAGGGAGTATTGTATTGGGAGGAAAATGTTACTGGAGTATTGACTGAAAGTGAATTGGATAAAATTAAAATGTTGCTTTTTTTCCTAATGGGCATTTGTTTTGTTTCAAGTCAAACTAGATATTGCATTTCTATCAGTGGATACAGAGGCTTAGATCTTTAAAAGAAAAATTTTTTAATTTTATGTCAACAGTTGAGTATTTGATATAGCCCACCTCACCTTAATGGGTCTTGTCTGCCTTCATTAGTCTACAAAGAACAACTGTTTGCTACCAAAGTAAATCAGTATTTTGAATGTGCTTCTCTTGGTTTTTGTTATTAGCTTACTTCCTGTAAGCATTTCCACCAGACTTGAGGCAAGTCATAGGAAGCTGTTTCTTTTAAAATACAAACCATCACCAAAAAGTTTAAATGTACATAATACTTAAATATTTGGCTGTTTTTATTTTTTAAAATGTAACAGACAGCAAAAAAGCAACATAGTGTCAAGATGGAAAATGAGAAAGATGCACTTTCTGTAATTGTCATACCATTTAAGTTACTAATTTGTGAATTCCATTTTGATTTGTACTTAACTACAGGAATCCTTATTTAATACAATAAAATGGTTTATTTTAAGTGTATGCATATTAACCAATGGCCTCTCAAAAGCACATTTTCAATATTGAAAATAGAAGGAAAGAAAATGCATCTTTAAACATTTTATGGAATCTTTGACCACATATACTTTGTTAGAGCTATGTGTTACACTGACATCAGCAACTTCACTGTTCTACTTTGTGTTCCTTTTTATGAAACAACTAGTAGCCCGGTGCACGAAGTACGTGCACATTAAAAGGGAATTAATTGCTCTAACCGGTTTGGCTCAGTGGATAGAGCATCGGTCTTTGGACTCAAAGGTCCCGGGTTCGATTCCGGTCAAGGGCATGTACCTTGGTTCCGGGCACATCCCCAGTGGGGAGTGTGCAGGAGGCAGCTGATCAATGTTTCTCTCTCATTGATGTTTCTAACTCTATCCTTCTCCCTTCCTCTCTGTAAAAAAATCAATAAAATATATATTTTTTAAGAAAGGTAATTAATTAGCAAAGATATTTTAATATTGCTATTTGCCCTTTCTCTATAATAGAAGGGTGAGAGATGAAAGGAAATTAGTAAAATGTATATGAAAATAATATATAAATTTATTAATAAATAAGCAGTAACAAAAGGCTATAACAACAGAGGCATGATATAAAAATGACAAAAACATGATATGAAAACAACAGAAACATGATATGAAAACAAAAACATGATATAAAAACAAAAGTGATGCAAACTATGACTGATAAAGTGATTAAACTTATTCTAATATCTCCCTGTACACCACATTAAGAGTGAAAACACTTTCAGAGTGCTTGACTAATTTCCCTTGTGATGAAGTATTTAGAACTTTAACTGTAATGTCACATGCTCTTCAAACTCGAGAGAAAGCAACATATAACTGACCATGTGCGAAAATGGGTTCAGGTAGGAATATGCCTACTCTGTCCAGAGCAGCAGTTCTCAACATGTGGGTCGCGACCCCTTTGTCGGTCGAACGACCCTTTCACAGGGGTCGCCTAAGACCATCCTGCATATCAGATATTTACATTACGATTCATAACAGTAGCAACATTACAGTATGAAGTAGCAACGAAAATAATTTTATGGTTGGGGGTCACAACATGAGGAACTGTATTTAAAGGGCCAGAAGGTTGAGAACCACTGGTCTAGAGTTTGTCCTTGTGATTTATTAATAGTCATCACAAATGCTGGCATCATGGGAAACCGTTGTCGAATCAATTTAAATGGGAGGCCAGTGTCAGATGGGGAGAAATTGATTCTTGGAATCAGAACAACCTCTCCCTCTGCAGATCCTGTTAATACTTCAGCTTCAATAATGTTAGGTCGTAATCTTTTGATAATAAATCTGATACCATTACAAAGACCCCATTTACTATTGAGATTTCTCAATAGCATGATGATTGCACCCACTTTCAATTTTAATTTAATTTAGGACACCGCATCCCCGAAGGAGTAATACTATTAAGAAATTCGATGGGAAAAATTTCCTTTTCAGCATCATCTGTGGAATCAATGGAATTATCACTCAAATATGTGTGAAAATCTCCATCTAGTATATCCAATATTTCTTCATTTAATTTTTGAACATGCTCATTTTTGGACAAAGAATTGCACATTTAGATATATTTTTAATATTATCTATAGATATAGTATTTCCAAAGGTAGCTTCAATAATAGATCCCATTACAAATCATTTTACTTCCACACTCCGCTCAGAGGGCAGGTTCCTGCCTGAAACCTCAACCTCCAGGAAACAGCTGGGGGAGGGCGCAGCCGTTTCCAAGATGACCCCTGCAGGACTGACTTCCTTCCGGTTGGTCGCGGTTCTGGCCGTGATGTTACACCCAAGGTTTTTATATAAGTAGATAAGAAAAATGCAATAAAACAGTAATGTTCAGGTTTTGTTTCTTTAAAATAGCAAAGCCCTTTCTTCAAACCAAATCCCACTGAGAAGCCTGGTATGTAACCAGTATGTAACCACAGAAGCGGCTGTTCTGTCCCTGCTTCTTCCCGGCTGTAAAACACCCCTGCCCTCCTACACACACACACACACACACACACACACGCACGCACACACACACATGCACACACACACACACGCAGGGCCTGTGTTAGGGACACAAAATGAAAATCATAGCCTGAAAGACAGATGAATTCAACTCACCACACCAACAAACACTGCCACATAAAAAGATTGCCGAGGGGCTCAGACTTAACTGTGGCTATAGCACTGTCGTCCTACCACAGTTAGAAGTGTCCCTGAGGCACTGTGTAAAAGGGCAGGCTATTAAAGCCGAACGTCTCAGTGATAAAATGTCACTGAGGGGGGCCACAGGAGGTGGAAAGTCCTAAGTTGTCACTAGAAGGAAAAGATTTCTGATGTACGGGATGCTTTGGAAGGTTCTGTGGATAAGAGGGATTTGATCTCAGCCTTAAAAGAAAGGGTTATCAGTTGGGACCAAGAAGCTATCCAAGGAAGAGGAAATGCCATATATATTTATTTAAACACTAGAGGCCCGATGCACAAAATTTGTGCAAGAGTAGGCCTTCCTTCCCCCAGCTGCCGGCACCGGATTCCCTCACAGACCCTGCTTCCTCAGGAAGGTCGTCTGGAAGGATTTCCTGTCTAATTAGCATATTACAGTTTTATTATTATAGATACTGTAGCCCTAGTCAGTTTTGCTCAGTGTTTACAGTGTTGGCCCGTGGACTGAAGGGTCACAGGTTCAGTTCCAGTCAAGAACACGTACCTCGGTTGCAGGCTCAATCTCTGGCCCTGGTCTGGGTGCGAGAGGGAGGCAACCAATCGATGTTTCTCTGTCTCTGTCTCTCCTCCTCCCTTCTACTCTCTCTAAAAATCAATGGGAAAATATCCTGAGTGAGGATTAACAAAAAAAATCAACAACAAAAAACATATTTTATATTTTCTTTTTTTAACTTTATTTTTATTGTTGACAATATTACGGAAGTCCCCATCCCCCCTCCTTTGCTCACCTCCACCCAGCCCCGCACTCTCTGCCCTGGCCCTCCCCACACTGTTGTCTGAGCCCATGGGCTATGTTCTTTGACTAATCTCTTCACCTTCTTTCATCCAGCTCCCCACTCCCCTCTGACAGCTGTCAGTCTGTTCCATGTATCCATGCCTCTAGTTCTATATTGTTCATTAGTTTATTATATCATTAGATTCCATATATAAGCGAGACTATATGGAATTTGTCTTTCTCTTGGCATATTTCACTTAGCTTAATACTCTCCAGGTCCATCCATGCTGTTGCAAAGGGTAAGAGATCCTTCTTATTTACAGCTGCATAATATTCCATGGTGTAAATGTACCACGACTTTTTAAAAATTTTTGTATTTAATGATTTTAAAGAGAGAGAGGGAGGGAGGGAGGGAGAGAGGGAGAGAGAGAGAGAGAGAGAGAGAGAGAAACATTGATGTATGAGAGGAACATACCTAGGTATGTGCCCTGACCGAGAATCAAACCAACCA